TCGTTGCAGTCCACCGCCGCTGGCACGTACAATGACAATTATTACAAATCCCAAAAGAACGTAAAAATGACCTCTGGTGTACCTTAGCGCACCTATCCTGGCGTGGATCCCCGTGTCGTTTATTGAAGCGTTTATTTTTTTTGTCCACGCCCGGCTCGTATTGCGTTCGTCACACAATATAAGTATATATTTATTTTCTTCAACAACCATTGCCTCGCTCATAAATGAGCTCCGCTCGAGTGAAATTGCGTAATTGTGTTTGCGCCAAATCCACCCCGGACACTGTTTAGAAACCCTCAAAATGACTCGTTTAATTTTTTTATCACTAATTTTTTTATCACTAATTTTTTTATCACTAATTTTTTTACCACTAATTTTTTTTATCACTCATTTTTTTTATCATTAATTACAAGACTGCTAAGAAGTCAGCGAGCGCATCGTTCATCAATGGGGAAAACAAACTCGGTAGTTCGGAGCGAGCGGTCGCCGCAATTTGACCGCGCAATTCACAAAAATGGCACGACAAGGTATCATCGGCGGCCTAGCCGGGGGTGGGGGGGGGGCGTGGCCTTAATCCAGGGTGGTCTGTCCGGACCAATGACCCAGCAATTGGGCTCAATTCCCAGATTTGAACAAGAATATTGTAAATAATTTCTGGAGAGAGAAACATCGGCCACGATGGGGATCCCCCCCAGCCCATCGCCCGTTCTGTTCACCGTAGCAAGCCCGTCCAGCGCTCTTTCTACGTTTCGTGACGTGGGCAGACGCCACGGACGTCGGCGGGATCCTCCCGCCGTGGCGACGGTTCTGGTCGGGAGCTGTGAACTCGCCGCCGCCGCTCCCGCCGCCTCGAGCCCAGTCACTGCGTCTCGGGCTAGGCCAGCGATGGGCAAGCCAGACCGGTCGGCTTGGGGGGGGGGGGGGGGGCACGCAAATGGGGCCCCCCTCCTTCGCCTCGGTGGGCCGCAAGCTCGACGCCGTGCGTGTTCACCAACCGTGACCCCCACGCATCACCGGTGGCGAGATGTTAACTACCTCGCCTCGTGCGCAAGAGGTCCTGGGTTCGATCCTCGACCCTGACTGGACATCTGTGAAAAAAAGAGCGTTATGGCTCATCGGATTCCTCCAGTATAACTTAATGTTCTGATTCGAATTCTTCTGTATATTTCGAGTTTGCGGTGTCTCTCTCCCCGTGGTCGCGTGGATTTTTTTCCAGGTCCTCCGGTTTTCCCCTCTACGAAAAAATCGATGTGCGTTGAAGGGTATTTGGCCGCTATGAATTCCCACGTGATGATAAAGGCCACGCGTTGAGCTATAATTTCTGATAGCCAGGTCGCTCCTGAAAAAGAGCTGAATAGCTTGGTACGCCTTACCTGGTGAAATTAAATAAAATAGTTTAATAGTAGTCGTAGTAATGGTTTAAAATAAACACACTTAGGCACGTGGCCTGGGGGGCCACAGGTTGGCCACCGCTGAGCTACCAGCTACACAATGACTATCGGGCTCCGCATCCCGTAATCGACGTTGGAAATTTGGCAGAGAAAATTAGATTACAATATCGATGAACGTAATATCAATATTGAGTTCGCGGTCGATGTCGAGATTGATTTCTTTTTCTTCTTAACCTTTAATTATGATCAGGTGAGAGGCCATTGAGATGGAGTGATTTCTGTTTTGTTACAAGAAAGACCTGGAACGTAATCGTCGTCGTCATCAGTCGTGAACAATCCACTGCTGGATGAAGGCCGCCTCCAACTGTCGCCGATCCTGCGGTGTAGCAATCCGTCCAGCTTCCGAGCACGAACCGATTTCATCGCTCCATCTCCTCTTCAGGACGTCCTCATGGGCCTCACCCACAGGCCACCATGAGATGTGTCCTGCCGAGGTCCACTTTTCTCAACGGTCAAAATGATGGATGCTTGGAAATGCAATTACTCTCCAGGCTCAACGCAGCGTAGCTTTTGAGATCTGACTAGGTCGGTCAGACTGTGGGGGGCGATTTCACTCTTTTCCAAGCAAGGAATCGCGGCAAAATGCTTTCAATCGAGGCCGGTAAAAAAAAAAAAATTGTGTGTACGGTCGCTTGTGAGCCTCGTTGCCACGAGTGCTCACGTTATCGTTCTCTCGTGGGTTCATGGAGGCCAATATAAGAGGAGCGCGTCGCCTTGACCGAGCGACCACGTCAATAAGAAACAACTTCACCCTCGGCGTTGAGTTTTAAAGCGAAGCATTTCAATTTCTGGTTTGGAAGGTTTGATTTTTTTCTTTCACCTAGGCACTCGAGGGGAATGCAGGATGTAAGAAATCAGTTTCCCCCCCCCCCCCTCCTCCTCTTGGCAGAGGCAAACGTTAAATCTCTCCGGATTTGCCAGCGAGCCCCGGTAAGGAAAAATCATTGAGGTGTTGTTACGTTTGTCTAGACTCCCGGGAGGTTATTTTCCTGGATTGGCAAAATACCGCGCTGTCTGCCGAGAGACCAGTGGGACAGATTTAGAGGCCTGGAACACAGAGCGGTGGATGTATTCAATGCCATTGTCTAGCTTCAACTCCCAGTCTTGCGATGTTCTAGATTTCGAATCCCATTCTTCCGATGCCAATGTTTCTAGATTTCGACTCCCATTCTTGCGATGCCGATATTTCTAGATTTCGACTCTCCCATTTTTCCGATGCCGATATTTCTAGATTTTGAATCCCATTCTTCCGATGCCGATGTTTTTAGATTTCGACTCTCCCATTTTTCCGATGCCTATGTTTCTAGATTTCGACTCCCAGTCTTGCGATGCCGATGTTTCTAGATTTCGAATCCCATTCTTCCGATGCCGATGTTTTTAGATTTCGACTCTCCCATTTTTCCGATGCCTATGTTTCTAGATTTCGACTCCCAGTCTTGCGATGCCGATGTTTCTAGATTTCGAATCCCATTCTTCCGATGCCGATGTTTCTAGATTTCGACTCTCCCATTTTTCCGATGCCGATGTTTCCAGATTTCGACTCCCAGTCTTGCGATGCCGATGTTTCTAGATTTCGAATCCCATTCTTCCGATGCCGATGTTTCTAGATTTCGATTCTCAGTCTTCCGATGCCGATGTTTCTATATTTTGACTCCCATTCTTGCGATGCCGATATTTCTAGATTTCCACTCCCGGTCTCTGTGTCCGACCAGCAACATAGCTGTGCTCTCGTGCAACGAATTTTTATGGTCTTGGCCCAGCGGTGAATATTTTAATAATCGTATGAAATGTGACTATATATTCGGTTCAGGTAGCCTTAGCTTATGCAGCAGTCTATTGCGAACTAATCATCCTATGATGTCACATTGTGGTACATCTACGGCACCCGGCAGCTGTTGAATCGTAGGGAGTTCCAAAAAAAAAAAACAGATGTTTTATTTGTCTTCGTACTGCCGTATTGACGGTCAACATGATGTCCATGACTTGCGCGTCTTCCCTTGATCCACACGCGTTCCTCTTCCTGCATCTCAAATCACGAAGGCGCGGCGCCTCTCCCCTCGCGCTCCCTTTAGCGCACCCGTTGAGCTCTCGCTGCACTCCCTTTGTCAACGTCCCCGATTCTCGAGTCGCGGGGCGGGCAAGCGCGCCGCTGCCTCCAACGCGGCTCGCCCGCCCCCACGCTGGACGCGTCGAAATGGCAGCGCGTCCGGCCTCGTTGATGGGCAATGCCCCCCTTCCCCCCCCCCGGGTTTAATCCCTCGAGCCGTTGCGGAAACGAATGCATCCAGTTGATGATGCTGCTGCTGATGATGATAAAATATAAACCCGCTACACGCGCAGTCTGGAGTGCCTCCGCGCCTATCCGTGCGCGTACGTACACGGAAAGTAAAATACTGTACGCCTGTGTCGTACCACAGTACTGAACGGTACTTCCCAACGAGCAAAATCGCTCAACGTGCACCGTATTTTGTCAGATCTCGCGAAGCTAAGCGGGGCTTGATGCTGGACAGTGCTTGGATGGGTGAACACCATCCGAGCAGCAGTTATAGGCTGCAGAGCAGTGCAGCAAAATCTATTGTTGTGCTGTACTTCTTATGTTCCCCGTGCATACGTACGTACGTATGTCCTGCTCAACTTCCCCAACCCGCATTGACCAGTGCGGTGAAGTATGGTTGCGTGCGAGCTAAGGGCATGGCTGCCGAGAGAGTGAGTGAAGTTTTTTTGCGGAGGAGTAGGCGTGGCTTACAAACAGTTGGGCGCGGCCAAACGCAAGAAAGGGGCCAATCCACTCGCAGTGTGGGCAGGGGGCTGGCGAGATCGTGGGTGTGGCTATGTAAAAGTAGGCGGGGCTTGGAGAGAGAGGGAGAGGAGATGCTTCCAGCTCTCCGTGTGTTGAGCCTCCCAGAAATGCGGTGGCTTTGATGTAAACGTGGCCTGCCCTGACACTAGTTTTTCGTGGCACTCGCCACTAACAACCAGCGAATAACTGAATGTATGAATGAATGAACGAATGACTTAATGTATGAATGAACGAATCGATGACTTAATGAGTATGAACTTACAAACGTGTGAATATATAAATGAACGAATGACTGAATGTATGAATGAACAAAATACTGAATCAATTAATGAGTATGAACTCATGAACCCATGAGTGAATGAACGAACGACTGAATGTATGAATGAACGAATAAATTAATGAGTGAACTCACGATTGTGTGAATTTATGAATGAACGAATTACTGAATGTATGAATGAACGAATGAATCAATGAATATGATCTCATGAATGAATGAACGAATGACTACGAAAGAACGAATCTATTAACGAATATGAACTCATGAACACGTGAATTCACGTACGAACAATGACTGAATGAAGGAACGAAATGATTTTTTTCAATTCATGAATACGCACAAAACGGACGGTGTGACCGAATGAATGAACGTGCGCAACCCAGGGGAAACGGAATCGGCGAGCGGAATTCGCGACTCGGATGAAATGAACAAGTGAACCGCCGAACGGATTAATGAATAACCGATTGAACAGCGCGCGTTCACTCTTCAGGTGCAGGCCCACGCCCAGGCACAGGCCCTGGAGCAGCTGCGCGAGAAGCTCGAGTCCGGGGAGCCGCCCGAAAAGAAAATGGCCGCCCACGTCGCCATGGCGATGGCGGCCGAGGAGCAGCAGCGCATAATGCAGCAGGTGCTGCAGCAAAACCTCATCGCCATGGCAGCGCAGATCCCCATGAGCATCAAGATCAACAGCCGCGGTGAGCCCCCCCGCCCCCCCCCCCCACCTGCCTGCCCCCCTCCTCCACCCCCTCCTTGACTCCCGTGTGTTTGTCAACTGTAGGGGTCGCGGCGGCGAGGTGTTAACTACCTCACCTGGTATACAGGAGGTCGTGGGTCCGATCCCGACCCTGATGCCTGCTGTGTATTTGGAGTTTGCGTGTCTCTCTCTCATCATCATCATAGTGACTAGGAGATGTTAACTACCTCACGTGGTATACAGGAGGTCATGGGTCCGATCCCGACCCTGATGCCTGCTGTGTATTTGGAGTTTGCGTGTCTCTCTCATCATAATCATCATAGTGGCTAGGAGATGTTAACTACCTCGCCTGGTATACAGGAGGTCGTGGGTTCGATCCCGACCCTGATGCCTGCTGTATATTTGGAGTTTGCGTGTCTCTCTCTCATCATCATCACAGTGGCTAGGAGATGTTAACTACCTCGCGTGGTATACAGGAGGTCGTGGGTTCGATCCCGACCCTTGACGCCTGCTGTTATTTTTACAGTTTTGCACGTTCTCCCCGTGGTCGCGTGGATTTTTTGCCCGGAGTACACTGGCGGTCGCCCAGCCAGAGTGATTTGGTCACAGGTGTGAGGCCAGATGGATCGTGTAGCCGACACGAGGGAGATGGCCTTCGTCCAGCTTTAGATTTCCAATGGCTGTTGACGACAGCGACGATAACGTCGATAATAATGCTAACGTCAACTTGTGACACGCCGCACAATATTCGCTCGCTTTCGAAGACCGAGGGGGACTCAGGGGTGTGAGCAGAGACCAGAGATGAGCGGTAAGGCAGCAGCGGCGGCAGCCCAGGTGGCGAGCCGGCACCAATGCTCTTCCAAGCTCTGCGGTGCTCTACATATTAAGATTTTTCAGCCAATTAATGAACGCGTGGGAGGAAACGGACGCGCCCGAAGGATAACCCACGCGTGCGAGGGGACCAACGCTCAACGCTCGATCCCATACAGATGGAACAGGTGGAGTCTGCATTTTGCTGGTACCGCCTTCTGATATGGACGACGATGACGACGATGAAGACTTATTGAAATGTAATTCCAGGGTCTTATCGGGTGATTTAAAAAAAAAACACCTGTCCTTATCTGACATTCCTTGAGTTTACGACATGCATAATTGGACCTGAATAAGACCTCGCTATCAGCCGTTGTTGTGTAACTTTACAGCGACGCATCTCGTGTTGTGAACCGTCCCTCCATTGCTCTAATGCCTGCGTGCCAGCACCAGCAATATAAAGACTGGACGCCGGGAAATAAAGGTTTATAATCGGTTATCGCACCGCCCAAATGAAATATGCGCGCTCGCCCGACGATAAATGCGCATTTAACCGCACTGTCATTTTTAAGGAAAAGAAAGAGGTTTAAAATCGTACAGCCCAAACGTTGGGAATCGGCGGGCCCTTGGGCCCCGGTGATGGGTTTTTTGACCGACCTCCAGCCACGAATGGCCAATCACTCGTTGACCCAGCGGGGGCCGTCCACAAACGGTTGGGATGTCACTCGCCTGCGGATGTTGACCGGCGGCGGCACCACCAGTTCCGAAAGCAATCCGTCTGTTTGCTCGATTCCTCTGGAATTAGTAGCAGGTCACAGCAAATCCCTGCCCCCGTCCGTGATATGAAACACTCGTTGACTTGCTGCTGTGAGGTACATGTTCTATGCACTTACTGTATGAAGAATATAGTAATACAAAAGTACTTTGACAACCGCTGCCCCACCCCCATCCACCACAGTTAGTCGTGGGTTCTCCCACCGCTTCCGTGACATCTGTCCAGCGTGGAAGAGTAGGCCAAGATACGCCTCGAGAGAGAAAGGCTCTCCAGAACTGCACCTTTTTTTTTACTTATGCGTCGTGAAATTCCATCGTAAACGGAATCGCAACGCGGGACACAGAGCGGTGAATCCTGTAAATTCAACTTACCGTAGATTTACTACCCCGCCCCCCGTGACGTTATGCAATTCACTTTGGTCTCGCAATCAGAAAGCTCATGAGCTTTCTGATTGCGAGACCAAAGGGGTTCACTCGGCCCATCGCTCCTCTGGGGTCGATAAAATCAGCGTACCGCTTTGTGGGAAGCCAGCGGTGGTCCGGTTCTGTCGTTGTTTGTTGTTGTTGTTGTTCTATGGGTTAAACGGGCTCCCGCCATGGTGATGTGGAATTTGCACCAGTGGCGCGAGGCCGCTGGTGCTGTCGAGCGCTAACACCACACGTGTACATGCATAGTCCCTTTGTCAATCCACTGCTAGATGAGGGTCTCTCCACGCCGTGCGTCCCGTGGGGGTTATTTGACCACACTTCACCATGCTGCTCAGTACCAAATACAAGTATGTGCGCACATCCGCTGATCACACAGACACACAGACACACAGACACACACGCACGCGCGCGCACGCGCGCATGCACGTTACGCCCACATTGCACGCGTACCTGTTGTGCATATCGTTTGCGCGTACGCAGGGGCATTCTGCCACATCACATTCCAACGGAATGCGCGACACGTGCATCTGCTTTGCAGATGTGCAACAACTTCTAACAACAACAACAACAACAACGTGTGTGTGACACACACACACGCACACATAGGTATATGTACCGCGGTATACTGTCTGTGTGTAAAATTCCTTGCCGCGCTTACTGCGAATAGACACCGTGATCACCGCGTTACGGCTGTGACGGTGGCGAAGTGGCGAATCCAGCCGCCTGAGTTGAATCCCTGACAGTGGCGAGCGAGACCTGAACCTGCCCTGTGCTCCTTCAGTGTCACAACCCACATTTCACCGGCCGTTAAACGGCAAACTAAAACTGAACTCTCTTAATTCAACCAGGCAAGGGCCCCATTCACTGAGCCCATGTAGCAGAAGCGACCTGGCCATCATGAATGAGAGCTCAACGAAGTGGCTTATTATTATTATCATTATCACGTGGACATACAGAGGAGTGTCGCGGCAGTCCTGAAATTTGTTTGTTTTAATTAAATATATAAGCACACTCGGTGTATTTTCTTTGTTGAAGCTAAAACTAAATACCAATCTTTACCCCCCCCCCCCTCCATCTTTTACCCGATCTTGGATCCGCCACATATAGTGCCGGTGTCAGAACACTGAACCTAGCGCCACTGAAGTGCGGGGTTTGAATCCCGGACAAACTCGTGCACGGCAGGTCGACGGCCGAGGCTACGTGAGCGGTAACTTCGCAGAAATATATATTTTTTTAAAGAATAATAATTAGTTTTTGCACTTCACTCGGCCAAGTCGCCTCCAGGAGTTTGATTTGCTCGACAAGCAACGAGTGACCCCCTTGCAGCCTCGTCGTCCTTGCACAATAGACGCTCGAACGAAATCACAACAAAAGGCTTCATTTCCAACGGAGCTGTCCGTGGCTGAGCTCTGGAAATATACAACGATTCAGATGGCCTTGGGTATTTATTTTTTTGAAACACAAGTAGGGGCAGAGGAGGCGGGGGGGGGGGGTGGGTCCACACTTCACGAGAGCACTCATCCAGCAGCGAAATTGAGAAAACGGGCCGAGTTTTGTTGAGCTAACGAGGCGCCTGCACGAGGCATTATACAGCATGCGAAGGGCGTTCTTCCTTATTCGCAATGCTTTGGGGTTTTTTGGGGGGGTTTTTTTGTTGTTGTTGATGTTGTTTCTTCTCGGGGCACTCACGGTTGTCTCCTGTAGGAGGAAAATAAAAGTGCGCGCTTTAAATTTTTTTTATTATTATTATTATTGCGTTAACAAACAAAAAAAATTGGCGCCAAGGGTTTAAGGGAGCGACCCGTTTTGTTTCCAGCCGCGGGGCCACCTTCATAAACTCGGAGGCCCCGCCCGCCGGTGGCCAGGCAGGCGGCTGTGAGACCTTTAGAACGGAGCGGCGGTGCCCATAAAGACCGCGCCGCCAGCGTCTGCAATAATGCCGCGCCATAACGTCGGATGTTTGCTGAGACAGTAACTCGGGATGGCGCGTGTGATCTTTGATTCGTAATAAATGCCAATCTGTGCAGGCAAGCTGTATAAATAGCTTATGGCTCGGACCAAATTGATTGCCGACTGCAGGACCCAAACCCACCTCCTCGGGCGCCCCCCCCCACCCCCCTCCAATCCCACAGTCGCGCTCCCCCCCTTAAACCGACCGCCTCGAAAAGGCGCGGTTGTAACTGTGATGTTCGAGTGAATCATTGAACATTAAACGTCGCCTTGAAGGATTCGTTGGGGGTTTGCGCATTGGTACCGGCGGTATGGCGTGCCACGCTGTAAACGTGGGTCACCGAGAGTTCGATTCCTGACCGCGGCTAACATCGGGGGAGAGTAATATATAAACCGTTCCTCCCCCCCTCCCCCTTCGTAGTTAGCTGATTGACAATGGCTGGAGTTTGTTAATTACTATTTTCATTGATTCATTAACTCGTAGATGAGATGGGCTCGGGGTCGATTGGTATTTTTTTTATTAGCCAGATAATTCAATAAATGATTGTGCTGACATAACGCCCCGTAAGAGGCCCCTGGGAGATTGTTCGTTGATATTATGAACACCCAAATGCCAGATTTTTTTTTAAACGTGGAAATCGGCCGCGAAAATGTTCGAACGATTGGAAACAAATGGCCCACGCTGGACCCTATTGAAATAAAAAAATATATTAATGCGGCATACTGAGTGAGGTTGGGCCCGTGTAAACAACCAAATTAACATGACCGTATCCTCCGGATTATGAGACGTTCTGGAAAGTAAGACGCACCCCAAACTTGCATCGTAGAAGTTACAGAGATCTGGTCTCTCTCACGCACACACGCAACAACTGGATTATAAGACTCGTGCGTACGTGCGTATATGTGTATGTTGAACTTCTTTCCCACCGTACGTAGCCAACTAAGCTAATCGGAGGTGTGGGATGAAGAAGGACAACAAAATAACACACAACAAGAAGCACTTCTAAAGCACGGGGTGCCCTTTACCTTACAGGGTACAGCATTAGGAACGAGTACGTGTACTGTGTACGAGTCGGTTCCCAAAACTTATTGGCGTTCCCTTGCACTTGCAAATAAACCGCGTGGTCACGTACACACACGCACACACGTATATATATTTTTTTCGTTCTTAATCTGTCCACGTATGAACTTTTGACTTGGGTTAAATATTGACCTGGGCCGAGCCTCATAATAAAGGCATAAAAACTTCGTCGGGGCAATTTCTTTTGATCTACTCTCCATTGGGCGACGAGAAGGATGAGGGGGAGGAGGAGAGGGGGTGGATCCGTGCGGACCCCCCCCCCCCGCCACACTATAACGCGCCCCGCCGCTGATAGCGCAGCGACCTCACCTTGACCTATTTGAATGTCTCCCGTGGCCCTCCGTTAAAGGCAGCGCGGGCAATGAAAACGGCGAACGTCACTCGCGCGGTGCCTTTTTATTTTTTATTGTTATAAATTTACCTTACCCCCACCGCCACCGCCACCACGTGCCCTCCCCCCCGCACACTACCCCTCACCCGGGAAAAATAACCGTAAAGCAATAACGCCACCATGCCGTTAACCGCTATTGCGCAGGTGTCAAATGAGGTGAAAAATGTTTTGCCAAATGTCAAATGTTAGCGGAGGTCCTTGAGTACATAACCAGTTGTCGCGTTTACACTCGCAGATAAACTCGCCTATCATTCATTCTTACCAAACAATCTCAAGGTCGCACAAATGAAATCGATGGGAGTTTCGTTTTATTTTATTTTTACGGTTGGTGCTCGTTTGCCAGCGACTCGTCGTGTCTTTGATATTCGACGTGGAGTTATCTCGTTTTTTTTGTTGTTGGGGGCATGGTAAATAAGGCGTTGTTTGAATGTGTGCCTGCTGTTTGCAGAAGAGAGGCAGGAGATGGCTCTGAACTTGTCGACCAATGGCACGAGCAGCATCAACATGTCCATCGAGATCAATGGAATTCTCTACACAGGTGAGGGCGCTGGACGCTGGCGACACTAACCGTCGCTCGCTGTCAACGTGAAAACTATAACGGCTCACGCACGCGCTGCTCGCAAACAGCGCGGAGACACAACTCCCCATAATGTTGATTGCAAATGGGTGCCACGGTGGCTAGGAGATGTTAACGTCCTCGCCTGGTATGCAGGAGGTCGTGGCTTTGATTCCGACCCTGCGACCTGTTGTATATTGGGAGTTTGCATGTTCTCCCCGTGGGCACGTATATATTTTTCGCCTGGTCCTCCAGTTTTTCCCTCCACATTTAGAAACGTGCGTTAAAGAGTATTTGGCTGCTATGAATGTCCACATGATGATGATGAGCCACTTCGTTGAGTTATCGTTTGTGGCCAGGTCACTTCTGAAAAAGAGCTACAAAGTTCAGTGGGCCTTACCCGGTAAAATGTAAAATTGTGTTAAAATAGTTTCAACGTGATCGCATCATCGTTTAGACCACCAAACAAAAAAAAAAGATTTAACACGTCGGCTTTCGTTTTTTTTGGGTTAGGTCACGTAAGTATGATGTGTCATTAACTCACCACCACCCGACACAGCCAATTAGTAAGGTTTGTCAAATCGCCTGATGAAGCTGGTTGTAATCACCAGTGAAACGTTGTGCTCAATTGTAAATATTGTGGGTTTACTCGCCATCACACCGATGTGCTGAAGTGATAGCTGATTGATTTGAAGCTTTCGTGACTGCAGGAATCCATACTCTTTGGTTCTTTCGGTAAAGTCACCAAGTAGCTAGAAAATTAATAGATCACGACGTTGCGATCGCAACACAAGCGGCCGTCTTCAGGCGAGGCGGTCGCTTGTGTTGCGATCGAAACGTCGTCATCCATACATTTTCTATCTACGCGACTTTTGGTGGTGGCGGTCGGTTAACGACACAGTTTTATATTCACGTGATCTAACCCAATAAAGCTGACTCATGAATAGGAGCAAAAGAGTTGTGAAACGTGGCCGTCTCCTCGTGCAGAGTTCAAGTGGCATGTTCAGAATGCCCCTTTGTGTTCATTCATTCGTCAAACTCAAGTGGTGACAACCTACGGGGCAGTTGGCATCTGCCAAATAGTGGAGCTGATCTTTTTTTTTTTTTCCATTGGCCACCACCTCCCAGCATCATGGAGACGGTGGGCACTGGCACCACCTCCAATTAGCACGGTTGGCTACGCACGGTGCAGCATCGTCCACACCCCACCACTCGAAGCAGTCCTGGGCCCTCCTGTAGGGCGACTCGCCCTTAAAATGACTAGCTAGCATGGAGTGAAAATGATCCCCCTCATGCGTCGTGGTGGCCTTTAAGCAATCGGTGCTGCTCGCCAACAGCACTTGCCCCAGCAAGTCCGTTAAGGCCCCCCCCTCACGGGGGAATCTTTGTCTTTGCACAGGAGTGCTGTTCGCCCGTCGCCCACAAATGCCGGTGGTGCCACCCTCCGTGGTCCCGAGCACCAGCGGCGTCGCCGGCGGAGGTGGCGGCAGCGCCAGCAGCAGCAGCAGCAGCCACAGCGGCACCGGCACTGGCACCGGCGGCGCCGGCGGCAACACCAACAACAACAACAACAGCGGCGGCGGTGGCGGCGGCAGCAGCAGCAGCAGCAGTAGCGGTGGCGCCGCCGCGTCGGTAACGGCAGCACGAGACGTGCCGTCCAGCCCCGGCCCGTCGGCCCCCGGGCTGGCGCTGGCGGCCCACCCCCTGGCGCTGGCGCACGCGCACGCCCTGCTCGCCAAGGGCCTCCCCGCGCCCTCGCAGAGGGGGGGGGGCGGCCCCCCTTCGCCGCCGTGAACGAGCAGCGAGCGAGCACGGCTCCCACCCGCTCCGCACCCCCCCCCCCCCCCCCCCCCCCCCCCCCCCCCCCCCCCCCCCCCACACTTCCCTCACCGCTCCCCAAACCGTTCCCTTCTTTTCTCTCTCTAACCTCTCTCACCTCTCTCACCTCTCTCAACTCTCTCCCTCTCTCCCGCCCGCCCGCACAGTCCGCCGGTACGACCGCAAGCGACGCGATGATGCAATGACGCGGCGACGCGACGGATCGCGACTGTAGTTCTGCGTAAATCGAATGCACTTCTTATTTTCTCCCTGGCCCCGCCACCCCCGTGCAGCCCCCCGCCCCTCCCTACCTCCCCTTTACCCCCCTTTTACCGACGCCCCTCGGAGGATCGGTGCGTGACGTTTCCCGCAGAACTGCAGTCCCCCCTTGAACCGCAGACGGTTGTTTGGGAGCTGGGCGTGGGGGTTGGGCCTGACGGTCAGGCCTTTCAGGATATCACCCTCGATCATGAACATGAAAAGGGAGTAATGATGGGCGAGTTTTGCCGGGACTTGCAAGGACACACGCTAATCGGAGTTCCCCCATCCCCCCCCCCCCCCCCCCCCGCCCCCGGCGAGCGTAGTAAGCACGTGGCCGAGCGTGAGGAGTCGTTGGAATGGGCGCGATCCACCCAAAGATGACCGCGATGCCTCAATCAATCAAATTATTATTTTTTCAAACCAAGGCCTTCTGACGAGGGATACCGGCCCGGCGGGTGCCCCGATGTTCACATTGCAGAATGTTCAGGTCCGTTGGGTGAGCGGGTGTCGAAATCGGGCACGGCGTGAGAGAGACGCCCGGCGGAGTTTCCGACGGCGCTGACGGAAGCGGATTTATGATATAAAAGAACGGTGAAAACGATTCGCGATTCACAAATTTCTCTTGACCCGAACAGAGCGCGAGAGTTTTTTGACGCCAACGTACGATGCAAATTTGCACAAAATTGTTCACGGCCTCAGGAGAAGTGAGTGTGCGAGGAAGAGTATGTACCCTCGGCAATTGGTGTCGACAAGAGCTTATAAATTAATGTGTGCATCGGAGTGGTGGTGCAGCACAACCTATTGTTGTACCGCGCTCCTGCGCTTGCACCAATCGGCGTGAAGTACGGTCAGGCAACTTCCGCATCGTCCGTTGCGTGGGGAGGTCCTCTTCCAGCAGTGGATATCGACCCAAGGCCGGCCTGTACGTGTATATTCCCACTTGATTCTTGTAATTCGACCTCTTGTGTAAGATTTGCGAGCATGGCTCCTGCCTCCTGTCCTCAATTGGACGTTGTTCTCGTCCATCGGTGTTTAAAGTCATCTTTTTTGACTGGCAACCGTTCCTTTAATCGGCTTTGACGAGAACGACCGGTGACTTTCCCCGGGCAGAAATCTGCTCAAGTCTCCCGACACGGTTCCGGATTTTAGCTGCCCAGCGCAGATAACGACGACGACGACGACGATGATGATGCTCGCGATGGACCTGAGTTCGCCACGGAGGTAGAAATTTGAACCCGCAATAACCCCGCTCGCGACTGGGGAGTCCTGGCCTGACCCGTACGTATGAAAGAAAGAAGGCATTTTCTGGTTAACGTTAACATTATTCAATGAATTGTAGAGGAATGCACTTTTCCCAGCATCGCCGAAGCGGCAATTGTGCGCCGAGCGTTCCAATTCCACATCAGCGACTAAACGACGTCGGTCCGCAGACGTGCCGAGGCGCCGGGGAGGGGGTTTGTGCGTGTGTGTGCCCGCAAGTCCCCCACATAAACCTTAGCACATGCACTCAAATCAAACCATGCGTGGCTTCACCGTATGATACTGTAAACCATTTTACCTCTTGGGGGGGGGGGGGTGGGGGGGATGGGTGGGGGGGATGGGTGGGGGGGATGGGTGGGGGGAAAGAAAAAGGAAAATATATATGTATATCTTACTCAGTTCCATTGGCATTCATTTAATTATGAAGGATTGTTTTTTTTCTTTCTCAAAAAAAAAATCAGCATTACTGCGTTTCAGCAATATTGAGTTCGATTGGTTTTGTACAGACGGCTCACGTAGGCTCGACGTTGTATAAAGTAACACTAATAAATACTCACACTTCTAATTCCTTTTGCGGACGCGCGCAAAACTGCGACTCGGCACGGTTTCGATTGCCGTCGTTGACTCAACGCAACGTGTCTCCATCTTGCGGGTCATCTTCTTGTAGGCCAGTAAAAAAAAAGAAAAACGTGGGGTTTTTTTTGTGTCTTCTCATCGTCGTTAAATTCCAAAAAAAAAAATAATGCACATTTAAACTTTTTTCTTGAATGATCACTGAGCAGCCTTACTTTGCAAAATGCAGACGTGAACCCACGGACAGCAGAAAAGGGGTCCCATGTCACTTGTTGGTTCGTTCAAACCATCCTCATCATGGGTAGACGTTAGACGCTTCGTGTCAAACCAGTGCAGGGCATAGCTGATACCAAAGCCTAAAACCTAACGAGCTTATTGTAAAAATCAGGTTGCTGTTGTAGCAATCTGTTGTTGACAAAGTATGTGTGGGGGGGGGGAGGGGTGGGGGGGGGGGGCTTATGTGCCTCTTGAAAAAAGAAAAAGCAGAGTAAACCAAAGACGTTTTTTAATACATTTCATTTTGGCATGTGACACGCTTTAAAGAATATTTGAGGTGGGGATTTTTGTAAGGATATTCAGGTCCTTATCAGACGTTGCCTTTTTCGGGTGTGTTCGGAGGAAAGAAAAATACACGTTCTAGTGCACACAACCACCGGGGCAGTTTAACCACAAATGAATTCACGTAACGTAGTGATGATGTTGATACTGGTGGTGGTGGTGGTGATTGATGATACTGTTGGTTGGTGATGATGGGATGATGATGATTTAAAAAAAAAATAATGACGAATTTAATAGCTTTATGGGGAGAAGAGTGAAGCAATATATGCCCCATAAGCTTTTTAAGTAAGTCTTGTAAATGGCTGTCCCCCTCCCGCGTATTAATCAGAAGATGATGTTAATCAGAAGATGATGTTTATCGTCAGGCGGGTTTGAAACGTGGAATGGCCAGCTAGGGACCTACTTTAGTTTGCCTATAGCTCCTGATGTGCTTGCAAAAGGAAACTGACACGGGTTATAAGTTTTAAAGAGAAAAAAAAAAGAAAAAAACTTTTAAAAAAACATTTAAAAAGGTTTTGTTTTTGCTTTTTTAAATATTAATAATTTTGAGAGAGAGAGAGAGGAAAAAAAAAAAACACAATTTAGGATTTATTGCAGCGATACCAATGGACAGAAAACCCACGAGAATAAAGATTTATAAATACATCACCATCCAGCGCAAATTCACGATTTCGCCTCCCCCCCCTTTGTCATTCTCTTTCAGTCGGGGCTTAAATTCAGCCGGAGCTGTCGAGGGCCGAGCTGCAGAAAAATATTCCCAGCTTCCTACTTAGCCACCATGTAATCCCCCCCCCCTCCTCCACGCTGTGGGTGGTGGGTTCTGGGGGGTATTGGTCGGATGCCAGGGGATGCCCCGGAATGTATTCCGCTTAATAAACGAAGCACCCTCCCCCCCCCCCCCCCCCCCCCCCCCCCCCCCCCCCCCCCCCCCTGGTTTCAGTTCCCCACACTTATATGTGCGCGCGTTAGCTCGCACACACGGATGAAACAAGAAACAATTCAGGAGTAATAGCACTTGCTTCTTGCGTTTGTAGTGGGTTAAGCTTTAAGATCCTCCGAATCATATTTTGTCAGTCGATGGCAGCCGCGGAAGAGTGCCGTACATACGCCGGCTCGGCTCGAGCCTAATCGCTGTAAGCTTTCGGGGACGTGCATGCCAAAGCAGTCGGACGCGCACAGCCCCACACACTCTTCTCAACCTGCGCCTGTGTTTACGCTTCTGTTCTGCCGGCTAGCGGGTATCTGAACCTGGCGCGTGTGTACATTGCTTCTTTTTCTTTTGACGGAGTTTCTGTCGAAAGGTTTTTAACGGTCGGCGGTGGTGATAAGTTTCGCTTTTTTTTTTTGGAGAGGTCTGGAAAGTCACGATTGGGTTGTGCACCAAGCATAGGATTTATTTACGGTTTTTTTTCCTGTTTGATTAATTATTTTTCTTTTTACACCAGTGCTTACTTTTCCAGGTTTAAAAAAAAAATTTAAAAATGACACTTTTCCGGAAGTGTTTCTTATGGCATTGTTAACCAAATTTTAACTATCTCTACGGTTTGTATTGCAACGTGTACAGATTGTACGGTAATTATCGGGTTTATGCTGTGATACACAACACACAACAATGGTAACCGGTATCAAATACCTCTTAATATTCTGTGAAAGATCATTTTCCAATATCATGATATACCTCAATAACAGTAAGATAGCATAATATTTAATATGTATTTTGTCATAAAGCTGTGTTTTAAGAAGATAAAATGCTTGTTATTGCCTTCATATTTTGATCTGTTCTGATTTTTCCCCCTTTTTATTATATTATTAATACTGATTTATTATTATTACTATTATGTATTTTTTAAATAACCAAAGAAGAAAAAAAAGATTGTATAGTCGATTCTACCTCATAGGCTTTGTTTGACTGAGAGAAGGATTCAGTGATTTGGGTTATGTTGGCATTCTGAGAGCACTGCTTTTTAAGAATAATAATATTCATATCTCATCATTGCTTTAAATCATTTAAAAAAAAAAAACGCACGCTTCACACCCACTCTTTTCTTTTCGCGAAAGGAATTGTTTTTCTCCCTCTTCTTCTAAGTGTAGTCGTTGAAATGAATTCTACTTATTGCATAGGGTTTTTTTGTGAGAACGATTGTTACATATTGTACCGTAGACTTAATCGCTTAACATTGGTTTTGAAACCTTCGTGCAGTAACGGACACGTTTTTTTCGCGAGGGCGGTTTTTTTTCCTCTTCCTCTTATTCCCTTTCTCGTGGACCTCTGCGCTTAAAACTCACGGCTGCCCCCTTCAGCCGCCACGCTCGCCGGTGGTGCTGTTTCCATTGCATGTCCGGCGTGCCCCACGTGT